CTAGGCGTCTAGTCGTTCCGTATCCAGAAATCTTGACATTGTAAAGCGAGGGACAGAACTTATTTGGGACTTGTTTGCTTTAAACTTTTCCACAACTCTGTCCCTGAGCTGCTGACTCTCTCCCTTAGTCCTCATGACGAAGTTTGATCTCTAGCAAACTTCTGGCAACTTCACAGAACAACCATAGACTCTTCTAAATAAATACAAGCTGAAATTCAATGCACCTTTATCGTTCTCATTTGCATTTTTTCTGTCCACTTCACAATTATGCCCTACGTTGTGTTGGTTAGTCACATAAGATACGTTAAAATTTGTGGCTGTAATGTGACAAAATGTGAAAGGGTTCATGGGTTAACCATAGTTTTACAAGAATTTGTTAATATTTAGGGTACATTTAACCCTTCACGCTTCACAGGTGGCAGTGCTGAAATCAGAAGGTGGTGAGGGGGAAGGTGGAGCAGTCGGTGCCCTGACCGTTGCACCCGGCCAGGGTCAAAAGATCATGACCTTTCACGTGTCTGAGAACGGTGAAGCAGTGCTGCAGGAGGCCTACGAGGCAGCCGCCTCTGACCCTGGGGAGCTTACCCACATTGCCATAGAAAGCTACGAGGATGGAGGCGAGTTCAGTGTTGTTGAAGAGCCTGCCGGAGAAGTCCACAGCCCCGCATACAGGTGACTAAACACAGAACACAGAGAATATCTGTTTCTTTCAATTCTGATAAGTGCTTTCAGGTTTTAGTCCTGTTAAAACGCTGTGTTTCAGTGCTGATGAAAGCAGTCAGGGTTTAGACGTCTCTGCATCAGAGAACCTGAAAAGCGACAAGTACTATCTGACTTCAGCCCTGGCTGACGGCGTGTTGCAGCAAGTAGAGGTAACGACCAGTATTTTCATTAGGGGGGGGTGTATAAACGTCGTTTCTGGTTTCTCACACGTGTGCTTCGTCTCTCCTGCCAGCTGAGCAGCGAAGCTCCACCCTCGCCGACGGCGACGAGCTCTCCCAACACCAAGAGATTCTGCTGCCGCATCTGCATGGAGTCATTCAACGGTCGCTCCGACATGGAGAACCACAAGAGGGCGCACTTGGATCCCAACACTTTTAAATGTCCTGACTGTGATTTCACCTCAACCTCATGGCCCGAAGTGAAGGCACGTCTCTCAGCAGCAGCTTCATGAATTCATTTCTTTATCAGATATTTAATGTAATTTTAGTTGTTAATTTAAGCACCATTTAGTATCAAAGAAGGGAAAACATATTTGTCTCTTCTGCACAACATCCTTAGTCTCACATGGGGATGCACTCCTACCTGCGTCCGCATAAGTGTCCAAGTTGCAGCTTTGCCTCAAAGAATAAGAAAGACTTGCGTCGTCACATGATGACCCACACCAACGAGAAGCCGTTCGCTTGCAAACATTGTGGACAAAGGTTGGAAGCGAACTTTTTTTTGTTTTTTGAATAAGATTTGAGGATGAAATGTGCCGAACATCTGTACATATGACTGGTTCTTTGTTTTTTTTGTTTTTCTCTTTAAGGTTTAACCGTAATGGTCATCTGAAGTTCCACATGGAGCGTCTCCACAGTCAGGATCATCCCACTCGCAAAAGCCGCAGCAGCGCATCTCAGCAAACAATCATTGTGAACAGTGACGAAGAAGCCTTAGCCACCCTGCAGTGTAAGCCACACTCACAACAATAACATGGGTAACCCTTTATTTGAAGGGGTGGGAATAAGACTGGCATAAACATGACATTACACCTGTCATGAACAAGAAGGAGCCTTCATGAATTTCTATGACTGTTGTCACGAAGTGTCATTCTGTATATAATGACACTTTAGTGCAAAGTTGACACTTTTAATTTACTTTTAATGGAAGTTTTAGTACAGCTTTTAGTGCAATAGTGCAAAGTTGGCAATTTTAATGAGCTTTTATTGCAACTTTGCCATAAAAGTGTCATTATTTACCAAATGACGCTTCATTACAACAGTCTTAAAGATTCATAAAGACTCCTTCATGTTCATAACAGATGTTATGTCATGTTTATGACAGTCTTATGCACGCCCCTTCAAATAAAGTGTTACCTTAATTTGTATATTACATTGCACTGGTGTTGATCAGTGCAATAAATATGTCATCTGGTTAAAAAGATTAAGCAGAAAACAAGAATTTTAATCTTTGGGGGTAATCTCAGTTCAAAGAAATATCAAGATGAGATTCCGCTAACAGTGGCAAGGATTTTAAGTTTTTATCGGGTTAAAGTGGCATACTGGCAACTTTGCTGCTCAACCCACAAATGCATTTTCCTTCCCAATGTTGCGTAATTTAAAAGGAAATAAAGCCAAGAAGCATTGTTACAGTGAAGAACTAATTGACCAACATAATTGACTGTCTTTTTTTTTTTTTTTGCTATGATTTGATACAAAACATCAAATCATTGATTTGTTTTTGCAACAGCCTTGCAGGCTCATCAGACAGCGATCACTCCAGAGCGGCTGCAGGCCCTCGGTCAGGATCACATCATTGTATCTCAAGAGCAGCCGCTGTCCGATCAGGTACCATCACCAGCAGTTCTAGTGTTAACGTTACAAAAATGATCATTTACTTCTTTGAAAATTAAGTGAGTGATTTTCGCTTGTTGTTTGAATATATATAAAAACATTAATTTCTCTGTGCATTCGTCAGGAGGAAGGGCCGTACATCCAGCAGATAACCACCATCGACGGTCAGACTGTTCAGCACCTGATGACTGGAGACAGCCAGGTGGCAGAAGTAAGAGACACTTTGCTGATTCATTGGGTGAATTTATTATGGCTAATTATATGACAAACTATGGTCAAAAGGCATTATAAATAATGAAAGATATGTATTTTGTTTGAAAATGTTCTTTATTTAGTTCCTAAAATCACATTACAAAGTTTTAAGTACAGTTTTCTTGATTTTATGCCTGGTCGTTTTAATAAGAAACTAAATGTCGCCTGCTCACATATAAACCATTATTACATTTATAAAGCTTAAGCTGCAGTATTTTTATCATTCATTTTTTATTTTCTTTTTCAGGTTCAGTACATCATCTCACAGGATGGAGTTGACCACTTAATTCCTCAGGAGTACGTTGTAGTATCTGATGGTAACCAAATTCAGGTAATATTTAGTTTCTCTCACTTTTCCCAATGAAAGCCTTCAATGTCTGAAGGTGTTTTTCTGCTGGGCAGATGCCTGATGGACACATTATCCAATACGAGCATGAGCAGCCGGTAAGGCAGACTTGATTTATTTTAAATTTAACGTCGGTAAATTAAACTGATTGAAGAGAGGTGGTTGATGCTGGATCATTTGCAATGAGATGATTTATTTTTTTTTTTGCTTGTGCAGATTGCTGTAAGTCATGATGGGCAGATCCAGTACGTACCTGTCAGCTCTGAGGCTCAGGTGGTGAACACGGAGGACCTGGAAGCTGCAGCACATTCTGCTGTCACAGGTGGAAAAAGCTTAAAAGATTGCATTAATTTACATGTCTCACATTTAATAATAATGATAAAGAAGATTTGGATCATTTTCACAGCAGCTTAAGACTTCCCTAAGATCTCCATGTGAATGATGGCAAATATAGAAAACCTAACACCAATGTGAACCTCTGCTGCAATTTAAGTACTAAGGACTCTACATTTTCTGTTGTACTTTTCCTGATATTCCATCACGTTTGTACCGCTGCATATATTACATGATGTTTTCTCAGATTGTGCTGAATTTCCATGTAAATATGGAAGGTTTGTGGACCTTCACTATCAGCTTAAATTTTATTCAGGAGAAGAAAATGCCATTAATATTTGTAAGTCTTATTTTCTTTAGAGTCTTGCTCACTGCTCAATATGCAAACACTACTTTCAAATGCAGTCTAAAGGAATCATGCACACAAAATCAAATAGTTTTTTTTTTTAAATTTTTTATTTATTTATTACTTGAAGCAAAAATTATTGCTTTTAGTTGCACAGAACTACTTTAAAATATACAATAAATTCTGTGAGCTTCTGTCCCGTTTCTCTCCCTCTTTCCTCGTCAACCTCAAGTGGGATGTCAGCAATAATAATAAACATAACTTTTCTTCTTGCAGCTGTAGCAGATGCAGCCATGGGGCAGACCCAAACACTTTACACGGAGGCTACACCGGAGCAGCTGGAGCAGCTGCAGCAGCAGGGCATCCCCTATGATGTCATTACCTTCACCAACGAGTAGAGACGTCCACGCGAGCTCGGACAGCCGCGTCCTCAACTCATATATGCATCCACGCATTCACAAGGCTGCGGACCGAAGCCTCGTCTGCAAAAGATCAACAGCTTGTGGAAAATAAATGCACATTTTCAGACTTGTTGCTTCTAAATTATTAATAGGGGCTGCATGTTTCAGAGTACATTTGAACAAGGTTTGTCTGTTTTGTGGGTTTAAGTACAGTGTTTGTGTGCCTGAGCTGCTTCAACTCGCAAGACGATGTTATCCAACATGTTTTAGAAAATTTTAAAACTTCTTTTCCCAGTTTTGTAAGTGAAATGAAGGACAAAAGGGAGTGTTTATTTTATATTTGTATTAAGTTAATTGTTTAGTTATTGAATATTTATGTATATACGTTTTTCATTAGCCTTTTGCTTTATTATGGATGATGTGTTTTGAGTTGGTAAGATGTGTATCATAAGTTAAAAGCTAACACCAAATAAATCGCTTTGCGTACACACGTCTAGAGCTTTTTTATGTCTACAAAACAGTTGTTGGGAGGTCGTGGAAGCAGTAGAGATTCAGGATGTTGCTGTTTAGAGGATGTGAAGCTCATGTAATGACATGCAGTTGTGTAAGATGCAAAGACCAATCAGAAGCAAAGTTTGCTTTTGTTTTATTGGCTCTAGAGGCCTTTATTTGAAAGTAGTTTGACAGGAAAGAGGGTTATGAGAGAGGGGAAAGACATGCAGCACATGTCACCAGGCTGGGAATTGAACCTGCAACCACCAGCATGAGGACTAAGGCCTCAATATATGGGTTGTGCTTTGCCCCTGCACCACCACAGCACCACAATGGTTTGACTGGGCCCAACGATTTTGTTCTCTGTCTGCTGGTCAGTTTGTTATTTTCTCCTTTCCTCTATTCTTTTTTTCTCTTTGTTTTTATTTGTTCACTGTATTTCACATTTTATTGAAATAATTTAATGTTTAATTGCAGCACATTTGGCCTAGCATAGTATTTTGCTGGCCATTAGAAGTAACACTGAAGTGGGAAAACTGCATCTGGGAACTAGAAAAGTGAATGTTGCCCTATTGCTAAATGCTGAATGTATGTTCTGGAGGAACATTTCTTGTTTCAGGGGATGTTTTTGCTTATTCCATAATTCCAGGCAAATTTCCACACTTATGAGGCGTCAGAGCAAAAAAAATATGCTGATCTTTATATAAAATATTTGGGTGAAAAGAACATGGGTTATGAGTGATGTTTCAATCAGGAAATAATTTCTGCTGCTTTCAAACAAAAAACGGAAGCTAAAGTTATAGTTGCAAAAGTCTTTTTTATTATTATGCTTTATTACTTAAATCATGCTGAAAATCTTCTCAGAGGACCTCCTGTCATATGTTTCAGTTTTTTTTTTTCTGCTGATGAAAAAAATAACTTCCCTTTTCTTTCCGCTGAGGAGCTGCCTATAATCGTCTTGCAAGCGGGAAAAAACTCTTTGCAGGCGCCGAGACTCGGTGAAAGATGAAGACTCTCTTTATGTTGTTCTGCCTTTTGCAAGGTGTGGCAAAGCAACAGTTTGGGATTTTCTGCTAATTAGATCTTACTGAAACATGACAATTGACTTCTTGTTTTCCAGAGAACTGCCTCCTAAAAGCGCAGCAGAGGACTGAGGAGGTTCATCTCATTGTGCTGAGACTCGTGTTTCCTCCGATTTACAACGGCTACAACAAGTCCTGCTGCAAACTGTATCCTGGCCAATGCTACAAAGTGCTGGACAGTGCGGGGTACACCTGTGATTCACTGAGGGGAAGAGTCGCCACAACGGAGCAAGACGGATGGATCGAATTCAGAATATCAGACGTGCAGGTCGGAGATGCGGGTTATTACAGATGCGCCGTTCTGGGAACCCAGACCCAAATTTATTCTGACTACTATGTGGAGGTGTTTGGTAAGTAAGCATACCGTTTCTTGACGTGCAAAGGAAACTTTTTCCTCTAGGTCTTGCTCTAAACTCGGATCTCTGAACCGATGATTTTGCAGAAGCTTCTGATCACTACAGCAAGTCTCAGTTTCCACTGACAACCGCCGCAGTCAGGGTCCCCAACAGCTTCACAACACTCCTGGCCTCTTCTACTGTACTGGTCCCAGTACAGGACTTCAGAGACAATGACAGGTCTGCAGCCTTTTCTTTGTGTTGCTGTTTGTGATTTGTAAGGTACGGCTGAATTTCATACCCCGTCTCTCTTTCAGAGCCTCCTGGAATTTTAGCGTGCCGCTTTTTGTCACTGTGTCCATCGCAGCAATGATCTCTGTTGCATCTGTTGTTGTGGCTGTTTGCCGTAGAGTCAAAGCAAAACGCAAAAAGTCAAGTAAGCATTTTCCTGAAACTCATTACACCTCTCCAATGTGACTGTCTGCCAGTCTGTCTGTTGCTTTTTTTTTTAGAAGGGTCAGCCAGTGTAATGCCGCGTTGTTTTCATTCCTGTTCTGTAGACATACATGGAGCCGCTCTGTGTGAGTCACAGAAACGAGACGCCCCGGTAGGTGCAGAACTGGGAGCCAGCTGTGACTTTGACTCACTGCCCGGCTTACAAGGAGACATTGTTGTTTTGAACTTCCTCTACTCCACAAAATCCCTGAATACAACTTTGACTCTTTCAGGAAACGAGTGGAATAGTCTATGCAACGGTGGACTTCAAGCCTCGTCAGAAGCCTGAGGGGGTGTATGCGAACCTGGAAGAGCACAGAACTGGAGAAAGCAGCTCTCAAGCGGACAACGCTGGGACGGTGGAGTACTCCACATTGGCAATCCACCTGAACCGTCTGAGGGCATTTATACCCCCAAACCAGGGGACCCAAAGTCCAGTCCTCTAGAGCTGCAGTCCCGCAACTTTTATGTGCATCTGCTCCAACACACCAGAATCAAATGAATGGCTCGTTACCAGGTCTCTGCAGAGCCGAATGAAACTTGGTGTGGGCATTCAGCTGTCTGATTTAGGCGTCTGAAAGTGGCCGGATGGCAGGTGTGAAGGACTGGACTTTGGCACTGCTACCTCGAATAGTTTCATATTTTTTCACATAACTACAAACTTCAATGTGCTTTATTAGGATTGTGATTGACCAGCAGAAAGTAGTGCATAATTGTGAAGTGGAAGGTAAACAATAACAATTTTTAAAGACATTTCTTAAATTCAGAATCTGAGTCGTGGTTTACGTTGATATCCCAACGTAACGCTTCACACAACCAGCTTTTGCTGCAGTTATCTCTGTAAATCTTGAGGTGCCTATTTAGTCGTTTGATCTTTAGTTAAGATTGCAGTAAGTAACCATTCATTTTCATTTTGCAGTCATGCACTACTTTGTGTTGGTGTATCAAATAAAATTCCAGTGAAGCGTCTTGAAATTTGCAGTGACAAATAGACAAAATGTGAAAAAGTTCAAGTGGTATAATTAAAGCAATTTAAAGGCAAATGGCAGCTTATGGGTGAAAACCCTGACATATTACAAAAGACATGTTTTCCACCCATTCCTGAAGTTGGAGTTATTAAACAAAAATAAAGGTTCCTCTGTGAGTTAGCAGTTGAACTGCGGCATTTGATTTCTTAACTTTCCCTTTAAATGGTTTACTTATGTTGGCATGTTTGCATGTAAATCTGCAGCACAACATCAAAGTATTAAACTCTTTTGTTACTAAGACAATTTAAAAAAAATGTTTTCTGTGATTATTATGGTTTCCAAAAGTTTATTGGTATTTTACAGTAAAAGCCCAAATTTCACATGTAAGCTGAAAAACATTTAAAAGAAAAAAGAAAACATTTAAACGGGAACAGGATTCTCCCAGCATGCTCCCAGAACATCAGCTGAGGCATCTGCTCTGTCCGACTGAAACATGGTCAGCGGTAAAAGACGATCCCACCTGTCTTCAGGCTGCATGTGAGCCATGCAGGGTGGGGCGTTAGGGGGGCTCTGTCTGCCTAATTTCAACTTCTAGGCTAAGCAGAAAAATGTTGCCCACCTGCACTCTGTCAGTCAAAGTTCAACAGATCACAGGGTCTTGCCAGCTGGAAGTGTAAATACACTTTGCATTTTATTCCAGGGGGCTTTGATGACCTAGATCTTGCTGCTGGCTAGATATTCAGCCATGCTGTCAGTACCTCAGTGGATGGAGAGGGCTGCTCTCCATGTTTATATGTGGTGAGGTCAATCTGTTGTGGTCCTCTGTAGGTGGATGGTGTTGACTGTGTATTTTACGGCAAACGAAGCTCCTCAGTGCTAGTTGGGTAATCTTTTCTCCTGTAAGGATGATTTCTCCTCCAGTCGTTTCTCCTCCAAGTCTCTAGTTCCAATATTTGCCTTCATCTTGGCAGCAGAAAACTCAATATTTGAAATCTGTTGTACAATTCAACAACTATGAAAAAGAAATCTTAGCTGTCAGTTTTGTGCCAGTTTAATTGCATCACAGTTAGATTCTTGGTAAGTTCTTTTCTAAATTTCATTCCTTAAAGGGACAGTACGCATTATGTGTTTTCCACATAATACGTACTGTCCCTTTAAGTACATTGTATCATTTTATAAGACAATCAAATTAACTGTTATTTTTAGTAAAATAAAAATGCTACCTATATCAAGGATGAATTAAAAGACATTTGATTTCGTAATTTAACGCCTTGAAATTGGGCCTCTGTCTCTTTAAGAAACTCCTACTTTTGCCATCACAACATTGCCCCTCTTAACAATATATATATATATATATATATATATATATATATATATATTTTTTTTTTTTTTTTTTTTTTTTTTTCCCCCGTGTTTTTTTGAGATGCTCCTTTAAGGATGCGTTCGGGGGTTGCTGAGCCCCCCCGGTTCTTT